GAGCAACAACAATGACCATAAGGCAAAGTATTTTTATGCATTAAAGTCTTGACGTCTCTATCCCTTTCTATTTTGTTTTTGCTACACAGATTGAATAATAATCTATGTTTTTTCCTCTGTTATGGCCTAAAGATATGTAAACTTTAAGATGAAAATAATACGAAAATAGTTGTAATAGAAGAAGTTTATATAAATAATGGGCGAAACGAATCGATTTACTTGCATTCTATCCACATTTGCCAGACGGTCGAAGAAGTCGATTTTCACTTCTTTTTTTCACTTTTTTTTTTTTTTTTTTTTTTTTTTTTTTAATCTGCTGCAATGTTAATAAATTTGTAGCGCCTATCTTTTAATGTTTAAAAATTGATATTCGAGAAAAGTATTACCGGAATGAGTAGATAACGTATGGCAATGTCGTGTAACGCGATTCGTCACGATATTAACCAAACGAAATTAAACAAAGCCATTGTTGTTTGTATTTGAAAACTAATGACACAGACTTTAATGCATAAACGAATTCTGTATATAAATACGTTAATATACTATGATCCTAAATAAATGGTACTGAAGCGCACTGTTTTATGTACATGTAATTTATTCCTTAACAAGTTCGTGTAGGTTGACTATTGACAAATTCATATGTTTTAGTGAGGTTAACTCTGTTTTTGTAGGGCAATGGAAAAAATTTGAATTTTGCGTGTAGCGCCTCACTAAGCCCACATATAACTTCTTACACTAAAGCTTAGGAAATATTATGAAATTTTTCCATAAGTAGCCGACTGCCTGGGATTCATAACTACCAGGTCTATGTTCGTGGATTCGAATGTCAATGCGATCGAATTTAGCTTGGAGGCATAGTTACAGTGAGTGCCGCGGTAAAAGTATAAGATCTGACAATTGGTCGCGCACTTACACTCTCCTCACTTCTTTCCCACCGTCACTCTACATTACACGAATAGGGGACCTCCACTAAGTGATGGGTCATATAATAAAATATATCATTGGGACGAATTTATTGAGTGATGTATATTGTAGTGAAGGTATTGCTTAAAATTGCTTTCAGCAGTCAAAGTAAACAATTGCAAAACTGTAGTAGACACATGTAATAATCCTTTAACTACAGCGGTTAATAAATAATCTAACAAATAAATAAACAAATAATTCAATAAACCAATTAATTAATTAATAAATAAAATGAAAACTTTAAAATACGCAACACATAAAGTTTCAATTGCACTTAGAGTCGTCGGCAGCCGCATGTGAACCGTTTCAGCCACGGCATCTTAGCAACTAAGAGGAGTCGATTTTGTCAAACCTTACAATTTCCTGCCCACAATCGCAATTTCAAAAATATATGACAAAATTGAAAAACTATTTCACATATAATCGCATTTGTATTCGTGGATTATTAAAAAAGTGCTCAACGAAGCTTAGTTCCTTTTTGTAAATGAGATAAAGAAGGGACTATTTACAAGGCTTCTCGATTTGCCTACCATCATCTAAAAATTTTATTAAAATGTTACGCAAGGCTATCACCCATAAGCCTGAGCATGGAAGTCTTATTTAACTTAAGGAGTTTCTTATAAAAATGATTCTCTTACCATGGGCATAAAAATAATTGATAAACGTATGGAAAAAGTGAAATAAGAAGAAGAGAAATATATGAGAAAAGTTTCGAATTAAAAACAAAAAAAAAAAAAATATTGATTTAAAAAATTTGCTTTGCTATCTATGGTCAATCACTCAAGGATTGTCCCTTGACACAAGTAATACAGTGACGTTCAGCGTGGAACGAGAAAGATATAGGGAAGTCATGTATAGAAAGTTTAACTTCAATCCGCGACCATTGACTGGGCCATCTCGATTCTTACCTACTACAAATAATAATTTTTTTTACCAAAATTGAATAACTTAGCACTAAATTCTGTTATCATCCTCTGGAGGTGTTTAATAGCCTTGTATTGTCATAGAAACATTTTTTTTTTATAATATATTCGATTGTCATCTTGATAGATAGAACAGGTGTTTGAGAGCATTTAATAGCCGTATCATCTCTAAAGGAAAAAATTTTTTTTAAGGTTTACGCAGCAGCAATGGAAGATACCCTACCGATATGCAGGCAGCATTGCTTCGCTGCGCTCTGTCTAAATACTAAAAAACTATCTTGTATCAGTGCGAAATAGAAAACCAAAAGTCGACAAAAGTTTATTCGCTCCTCTTAAATACATCGACGACTGGTTAAAGTTTCCCATGAAAAGAGTTTATTAATTTGAAGAGGACAAGCAATTATTATACCTAACAATACATACTCTAATCGTTAATGTGTTTTAATTAGGAAAATACATTTCGTTTAAATTAATCATTAATGCTGCTGTTGTAGACAAGTGTGAAAATAGTCGATTAACATCATTTCGCTGAAGACGATCATGCATTTAAATAAGAAGGGACTACCTGTCTATGGATTTTTGCATATATATATATATATATATATATATATAGCGAATTGTAATTCTATCAATAGAAATTGTGATCAAAAGTAGGAAATGTTCCTTTTCGCGTGATGCATGCATGTATTTTGTTCAGCGACATCTATTGGTGCAAATGCTAAAGTGATGCGGAGTACATTACATATACACGCGCAAGCAAGTTTAAATTTGATGATTTTGATCTTTCTCTGCGTGAAACGATCGTTATTCATTTAGCATTATTGCGTTAAAAATGGGACAAGAAAAATTGTAGAAAATTATGGGAAATATTTTTGCCAATTTTTGCTCAATAAATGCATTTATGAGGTTGAAAAACTGATCAAAACATATGCAAGCATCTAATAATTGAGAAAAGTTCAACAGTTCAAAAAGTGATATACAACAACGGTATGAGATGTCTATGGAATAGTTTCTTAGAAAAAGTTATTTGGTTCCGGATAAAATCCGAAATTTTTTTGTAAACTGTTCTCTATAATTTTGTTACGACTCTAAACGATTTCAACTAAGTTAAAAAGTTGCTCTCGAATGATGTATAGGTAATAAGAGAGAAAAAAAAATTTAAACAAATCGAAAAGGAATGCAACTCTATGTACGCGATAAGCAATAGAAACTAATTTTTTAAAAGATTCTTTGAATTTTTTGCAGCCATCCATCAATAAAATGATAGGCAAGCGTCGAATTTTCATAATAATAACATCATTAGCTATAGTTACTTATTTTACACCTTACATAATTTGTGGTGAATGGGTACAATATCCTTGTATTGACGCAGAAGAGATAGGAGGTAGACTCCTTTCATCCTTTACCACAGCGATTGATTCAGAATCAATTTCTCAATCAATTTAAGAGTTATGCCCGCCTTCTTGTTTTGCGTTCAGCTTACAAACAACAAGTTTGATAAAAATTTCGAATCGGATCACATTCGATATGAAGCCTTATTCCTTATTCATGCCAATGCATGAGTAAACGAAATGAGCGAATGAATTGTGTAGAGCACTTAATGATGGGTTGTGTCCGCTTGTGCATATTAAAATAAAATTTATTTAAATTAATCCGCTTTTGGTATTTTATATAGTACTTTACTATATGATGACCTAATCTTTAACGTGAGAATTGTATTTGTAATTTAATCAACATTGTGGCCTCTTCTGTCACTCTCTCTTGAGTTGAATACGTGTGTGGATTAAAAAAAAAAAGAAGAAAATTGCACGCGGTTGGTGGTAAGGCAATGAAAATTAATATAAACTCGCTATTGCAATAAATCTAATCATTTACTTTGTGCCGTTGCCACACCACCACTCAATATCCAATTCTTAGTTACCGAATACGAATTCTCTTCGTTCGTTCATTGCTTTCAGCAATAATGTTCAGACAATAGATTTTTCAACAAAATTTCTTATGGCTATGAAGAGTTTTTTTGATTTTACTTAAAACTTCTTCTTTTGCGTTCGCCTTGCCTTTCGTTACACAATTTTCGTATTATTTATTGATGTCGCTGCGCTTTTTCTCTTTATAATCCGAATATATATTCGAGTAATATATTATCCTTGTCCTAGCATGAGAAGAAAAAAAAAATAAAAAAATAAAAAAAAAATAAAAAAATATAGAAAAATGTAAAAAAAAAAAAACGAAAACGAAAACGAAAATTTGTGTGTAATGGTGTGATATGAGTGCTTTGTTCTGGTTAAACTTTGTCGGTGAATTTTACTTACAATTCCACAGGATGTCATAATTTAGGAAGCGCTTGAATGTTATTGACAATCTTTATTGGATTGGAAGTAGCGCTCTTGTCTGCAACAAGGTGAAGGTATTGAAATGTAAGGCGTTTTTTTTTTTTTTTGTTTTTTTCTTCCTCTTCCTGCCTTTTCAGTATTCATTAGATATAAAATCTTTATACGATATGATCATAGTGAGCATAATAATAATGAAAGGGTCAAGCGTTGATAAAAGCGTTGAAAGAAAAATTTTATAAACTCTTTCGATCCTTTATTAACGCATTTAAACTTTTGCTTATTATTATTATTATTATTATTATTATTATTATTTTTAGAGTCATGTTGCCAAGATCAACATTTTAACATTGGACTCTATATCACTTAAATGATTTATTTTTAATTGTTCAAGACTTTTTAATAAACAGGAAAAAATGGCTTTCAAGTTTTTATAATTGCAACGGTACAACGGTATACTAACACCTAGAATGACTAGAGTTGGATCCAATTCGGAGTCATTAACCTTTTCTCTCTGTCTGCCTATCCATCCTGCCTGCCCGTCAATCTACGTTTGCGATATATTGTGGAAATTTGGTATACCGATGTCTTTTGCCCAAGGACAAACGTTCGGATCAGATCACTTTTTTCATTGCCTGCCCGATAACGGTTTACTTTGAAAAGTTATTATACGAATATATACGAATAGGGTGGTGTAGGGTGTTTATTGGTGAGCCCTGGCCCATTATAATGTTCATAATGTATCTTTTTGCATTAATTTTTGTTTTCTTCTTCAATGACTTACCGACAGATCACCTCCATAGAAGGGATGTATTACAAATGTCTCATTACCGATGTGTATCACTCCACTCACACCGTTACAGGTATGAAAGGCCGCACTGGCACCAGGATAGTCTTTGACTGTCCCATGATAGTAACAATGTTCAATATCCTGGAAATATGATAAATAAAAATTAATTAATTTTTCAGTGAAAATCAATTCAAGATTTCTCTAATTAACAGAAGAAATTTCAAAACACATTCATTAAACAACACAAAAACAAGCAAAAAACAAAAAAAAAAAAAAAAAACAAAAAGGAATACATTTACTGCATTTGAATCTATAATTAAAACCAAGGATAAGTTAAAATGATGTTAAAGAAGTTTCATTATAGCTTTGTACTACGTGTAGCACGGATACAAGTTTCACAAGAATTTTTGCTTATTGCTGCCGCAATGTCCGCACAGAAATGTACGTTAATTACATCTGCCCAATTTATTGTTTCGCTATCGCCGAATATGAAAAAATGAAGATCAAGTTCAAGATAGAGCTGGCAGAAGAACAACAATTACCGTTGGTTATAAGAAATCTGCTGCAGTCGTCGATTCATGTCGATGGGTTGTTTATAATTTTAACGACCGTTTTCATTGTAATCTATGTAATTAACGTAACGGCTTTGTTTGATCTGTATCGTAAATAATATGTTGTTTTCAGCTTAGACAAAAAAGACAGAGACCCAGTGACACAAGATATCCAATGATCTGTTTACTAGGAATTTTAATTTTTGTATATCTCGATCCACTATACGTTTCTCTATTCACGGAAACAAATTTCACACATTAGCCGAAGCGACAGATTTAAAAAAGAAGTACTTGTCAATGACGTAGACTTGCCAAGATTGAAGAATATATGCTTGTTTCCGGTGTACTAGCTTGCCGTATATGGATAGTTTCTCTCTAAGGGAATGCTGCGAAGGCGTTATCGTGGAGTATGCGATTAAGCAGAACTCGTCCTAAAGCCTCTGCCGCAACACAGGCAGATGGCAGACGGTCAGTTCTAGAGCTACCTATATATAGAGAAAGTGCCATTCGTTACTTTTCAGTATTTTGCATTTTTCTTCAACTAGATTCCTGTATCAATAATTTGGAGTGTCCTCTTTCCGATACAGACAAAGCGAAATGCCCCAGAAGTGTCTGTCGAGGTCCACGGAAGTTTACGATCACATTGCGGGAAATTTTTAAGGGAACTTTCGATTTCTTTACGAAACATAAACAAAAGTCAATAACGGATGGTAACGTTTTAGTTTTCCTGGCACCAATCATCATAGATAGATGCGAAAATCTTCACCGAGAAGCTTGAATATGATTTTAACTGTTAACTCATTGAGTCCATTTTCTAAAAGTGGGATACCATACACCAATTTCACCTGAAATAGTGTTGATAGGGGTCATGAGAAAAGCATTGGCACTTGCTCTCAGGCCTTGGCGATAGACTACCGATACAGCTATTGCCATAAATGATCAGACCACAGTCAAGCAATGGCTATATATATTGTATGAAGTCTGCTCTGCTTAAAATGGAATTTTTTAACTCAAGAAAGTATTGTTCCCAACCATATTTGTAGGGGAACGTGAGCCCGAGAACATTAAGTCTCTGCATATTTTGCATTGATAAATTGTTAATGTCCGACGATTATCGAAACGATCTTCTGCATCGCATAAGCGCTTTCTACAAATGCAAGTGCAATTTTTTTGGGAAAATTTCTTTTGAAATTTTTGACCTTAAGGAGTTCACTCACGTTGAGATCTCTTCCACAATAGATTCGGGAATGTTGCTTGTTCTCGTGAGACAATTATCAACGCACAGCAAAGAATTTTTGCTTGTTTGATCTGAAAGCTGTCTGAGAAAGCGTGACGGAAAGACAAGATCCTTGTGGAATGTCATCAATCATACTTTAGTGAAAAAGAATCATAGAAATGAGTTGACCGATACGACTTGAATCAAGTTAAGTATGCAGAAGTACAAATTGTATTTTTTTAAAAACTTTAGCATTTTGAAAACTCAGTTCACTACTCAATGGTTGCATAAAAAGAAATCAATAAATAAATAAAATGAGTCCTGCACAGGCACTTGTCATTGAATCCGTACACATATGCATGAAGTATCTTATATTAATCTTAGCAAGGGTAGGTAGTAATTATTCGATCTCTCCGCTCTGCTTTTGACAAGCAAGCAATAATGAGATAGACTACGGCGATGTGTAGCCATTATATTTACGAAAAATTCGATATTTTGTATGGGAAACTAAATTACGACATCGGTTCATATGTGCGATTATATATGTAGTTATAAATGAATATATTTTTGTAAACTGGTACAGCAGATGGGAAAACTTTGTTCGTAACGCAAAAGTTTCGAATCGGAAGGAAGGAAGGAGGGAAGGAAGTCCGTCTATGACGAACGTGAACCCCAATTTGCTTCTACAATAAATCAAGGAACAACATTAATATTAATAACAATAATAACAATAATAATAATAATAATAATAATGTATTTGATCGAGAGATATCGAATGATTACATTCGGATTGAATCTCTTTCCCTTGTTTTATTTTCTTTTATCGCACTTATTACTTATTCTGTAAGAATTATGTGGGAGTTTTGTGTTGATAAGGAATTGAAATATTTGCATTGCGTCATCTATATATGTATAAGCGATGAATATGTATTTCTTATTGGTATGCATTTTCAACTTATCATGTCTATATTTCTATATTCAGAATGTCTACGCTATTTGAGTGCACTCAGTGAAGAGGATTTTAGCTTGAAAATCAATAACAATTTTTGTTTTCCGTTTTTTTTTTTCTTCCCTTTTTTTCTTTTTTTTTTTTTACATATATTGTGTCTGTTTAGAAAAGGCCAGACAACCAATAAATTGCTTTTTTATGTCGCGCGAATTGCATACAGTCATTTACAGTCCCATACCGAGCACGGGGAAATGAACTGTCAATGATAGTATGTGCGCGTACATCTATAGTCACTTGAAAATTTAAGAAAAAGAAAAAGAAAAAAAAAAAAACAAAAAAACCAAAATATTTAATTTATATAAAACGTGAATTAAAAAAATAGATTTTCGGTAAATTATTACTAAAGACAAAAAGAAATGAAAAATGGGTAGATATCATAGATTAGATGGGTGAGTGAAAATTTCGCCTAAAAATTTAAAACAGCATGAAATTACTTTAATTTGAAACATATAACGCATATGTGTTTCTCTGTACGACTGTCCTTTGAATGAATAAAGTCCCCTCTCGAGAAACTTTAGCAAAATTATTTTTCCTTTTTTGCGCATTTACATTTTCACTATGTGCTTGTTTGTGCTTTGTTTTTTTCGCATTTAGATGATAAATCTTTTATTTATATGTATGCATATATCATTTCAACACTCTATTAGGGGGTTACACAGTGATTCTTTTCATATTTCTTTCTTTCGTTTTTTGTTGATATTACGTCTTAGTTGCACTTGTCTTAACGCATATGCATTATTTGTTGTCTTTTCTGTCTCTGATGTTCTATTGTTTAGTTTCTTTTTTTTTTTTTTTTTTTTTTTTTAAATTGAAACCTTATTATATGCACTTCATGCTTTATATTATTTTACATTCAAGTTGACTTTTGGCTCAAAGTCAAAAAGGGTATTTATTAGTGAAAAATAAAATAAATAAAATAAAAAAAAAAAAAAATCAAAGTAGAAAACAAAAGCAAAATCAACTTCAATACTATGTACATTTATTTGTTCTTATTAAACATTAAATAAACATTTCAATGCGTATTGAAATGAAAGTAAAATAAATTTTTACTTACATGTCGATTACCATCCACCAGGTAACCACTCGAATGGTAGTGTTTTTGTATTAAATTCGGCGATAATAATTGTCTGAAAAGATAATTACAAAAAATTAGTCCGATATCTTGCGCGAGATAATTCAAAAAAAAGAAATTTGCTTTCAATTTCTACGCTTAGACATCCCAAGTCATATGTTACTTATAGCAACTCCTATAGCTTTTCGTTTCGCCCTTGACAAATGAAAACAATCTCTCGTATTCGTTGAATAATACATTTGGCAAACTAGCGTCCTATCTAGAATTCACTAAGCGTACAGTAGGCAAACAAAAAAAAAAACCTATTTGTTTAGCGTGAAGCTGAGTGGGGGGGATTTTTCGAGCACGTTAAACGTACAATGTTTGTAAGAAATAATTAATACTTTTAATCATTTCTGAGCTTTCCATATAAACCCTAGTGTGTTAGCTTAGCAAGAACTGCTCTTTAACAACACTTTGCCACAAAAGGGTCCGACATTCTAGTACGCCGTAGACAACAGATTCGTTTGGTTTTTTTATGAACTCCATCTCGGAAGGGAACGCTTCGTTTTCTGAGGTGTTCGCTAAATCACATTTTTTTTTTTTTTCATTACTGATAGAAGATTATCTGCAAAAATTTGTCATTGGTAAGGAAAAAAATTGTTGTTTTACTGATCTTGCTTGATTCGTTAAAAAGTATCGAGAACACCCTTCGCATGACATTCTAATTTTTGTACTAATAAAAAAAATCCTAAATTTCGGAATGCGAGATGTAAAGACGAATTTTCTTCGTTTCTGATGCAATGAATAATGAAATATGCAAAGATATATTAAGTTTATGCGAATGTAAGTAACGCCTAGAAGGACTTGAAATAGAGTTAACGGTTATTATACCGATTAGTTCCGAATTGCTTTCTTAATCGATTTAAGTTTGTGCGTCCGTTTGTCCATCTTTCTTCACTTTATATTCAATCCTACTGTTGCTCTACATTCACGTTCTTTAGCTCAAGGACGAACACTATTGAAAATGATCCAGATCAGACCACTTTTTCGACCAATTCTAATATAATGCCTTGTTTTGATTGTAGAAATTCGTTATATAAATTAATAGAGGATTGCGTAGGGTATTTAATGATGGATCGTGAGCGATTATATAGTCGTTTTATTTGTTTTAAACTTTTCTTACTGTTTTACTTAACTTACTCGATCGATTGGATTGATGGCTAAACTTTCATTGCTAACTCTTTAAGAATGAAATGGAAGATACTGGTTTAATGATAACTGACCTATTCTGAAATATTGTTCGATTATCTGAGATGATCTATACCGTAAACAGATTGAGTCCGTATAAAAACAGTTTTTACTGTTTTTGCTTATGTTGTTTGCCCTGGAATCACAAATATCCGCCTTTCCGCGTATAGGAAACGTTTAGCTATTATAAAGCTGCCCACTCTTGAAGGCAGACAAGTTATACTTAATGTGTTCACAAGCTGCCAATTGGCATATCTGGTTTTGACTTAATTATTATCGAAAATATGCTCAAGTGTACCACCGCGAATCCCCAGGCATTTTTCGATTGCTTAATTTCATTGACTATAGAACAAACTATGGTAAAAATGATCTTAGCCGTAAATTGTGCAAAACAATATGACGAGAACTGCAACTTAATTGACTTTGGCCTGAGTGCTTCCACGATAATGCCGCAGATTATTAAACACTTCAACAAGCTGCAATGTAAGACCTTACTCGGCCCGATTGGGGATCAGTCGAATCTCAAGTGTTTGCAAATTTAACATTTTTCCAGTGATTTAAGTTTAAGGATAAATTTATGCGACTGATAATGTTCCACTATATGATACTTATATTGGTTGAAATGCATATTGTAACCAATAAATAAAAAACACTAATAATAAATAATAATAATAACTGTCTGCGAGGCTTGATTTTTATTATTATAAGGAAATGATAATATATAGAAAATATTAGAGAGGGTAAAACATATATGCTCAACATACAGAGATCGATCTCTGAGAATGCGTTTTCGAGAAAAGCCCAACAAGCATTTTGGCGCAAATTTTAGTAATAACTGCAGTACCTTACGCTTTTTACGCTAACTACTTGGGACGATTCTATAATAATTGAAAAGGGAAAAGTTAACCGCAAACACTTCAACTAAGACTCATAACGAAGACTCAGTTTGCTTAGCAAATATTGTACATAAATGTAAATAAATATTTTTGTGCTAAATTCAAAAATCCATTTAGTTAAATATATGTTTTTCCCGAATTCGTAATAGTAACTTTAAGTAATATTCGAAATTTGCATGTGTTTTACAATATCCGGAGCTAGTGGTACGAGCTTTCATAAATGAATTGTGTTTTTAGTAATAGAAAGAAGTAAAAATCAATAACGCGTTCGCGCATAAAAACGAAAATTGTTTATTAACTAAATTTGTGTGTGCTTGTTGCTTATTGAAGTAATGAATTGAAAGCGAAATTGCCATCGAAAGAACAACATCAACACAAATATAACATCGCGACCAGAAATGGAAAACCAAACAAAAAAAAAAAAAAAAAACTAAGCTGAGAGGAAAATCAATTAGGCTGTCCCTCTATTATTTGTTAATCCATATTTTATTAGGCGGTTGGTTGTTCTATTGTTTTATTTAACTTAAGTTTAACAAAATTTTTGTAGGTTATACACATATACATACACACACACACACACACACAGCGTCGAGCCGTCTATTTATTATGTACATATTTGTACGCAGACAATGAGAATAAATCACATTTACTGCCAAGGGTTAAGCAATATATTCAAAATTAAATGGAATTTACGAGTTTACATCTACCAACAAAAGGATGAATGTGTGCGATAGGTTTGTTATTTCGTTTGCAACATCCAACTAACTGTATGCATTAAAAATTTCAAATATCCATTATATGTAACCATGCATTGATAGACGCGTGTTCATCTGCCCTCATCATCATGCTGCTCCGATGCTGTTACGAAATCGATCGCAATGACAATTGACATCAAAAAAGCACAAAATTGACGCATATGACGCATACGAAAAGCCATAGATAAATATATTAAATTTGGTAGTGATTTGTTAACAAACTTATAGACAAAGGGACAAAGGGACAATTGCCACATCATAAATCGATAGAAAGTTTTGCGTATTTCTTTACATTTGCACCTAAGATGCTCTATATCTAATCTAATCTTATTCAAGGAATGAATTTTATGTTTATTGCCTTCTTTTGTTAAACGAGTCTCCCTATCTATTATGCGCATACTGCACGAAAATGCCTTAGATAACTGAAAGTTAATTAAAGTAAAATTCTAAATTTGTATATTACCTTACCTTAGGAAATAATTTGCTTATATATTTTCTTTATCGTAAACGTATAGAAAAACTCGAGTGAATAATTAAAGTTTTATCGAACTATTCGCAGATGATTGCCGCGTTAAAGTAATTGCTATAAAGTGGTAAATGCCTATATAAAATTTAAAATCCAAGTTCCTTGTTCTGTGCACTTCTAATTTGTGGACGTAAAAAGGGTAATAAAAAAATCAAAAAAAAAAAAAAAAAAAAAAAAAAACAGTAAAAGTAAAATAACTGAAGTTCCGCAACAATATATATGAGACAAATAGCAGGGAGCATCTTAGGAGTGAGTAAAGATCGCATGAAATGTCATAGGTTAACCTTGGCAGTAATCTGTAAGAGAAAGTAGATGATGTGACGCCTAAGCAAAAATGGTACTAATGGGATTGATCGCTCGTTACTTTGTGAAGTCGCCTAAGTCGTTCTCTATCGCGTTTGTTGTTTGTTCTGGGCTTTCAACTTGTATTGAAAGTGATCTACTTAGTTAGGCAGTAGTACAATAAGATGTAAGAATGTTCGCCTATTGTTCGACTATGTTCCTGAAATTGTTTCATCGCAAATGTATGCGAGCTTTAGCATTATCACGATAGATGAACAACAGAAAATGGAACATTTTGCATATGGAAATATAATCGGCATATATTCGCCGTAATATTATTGCGTCAGTAGGACATCAAGAGGCAAGAAATGAAGAGTATTCACTGATATATGCGAACATGTTGATGATGACTTAAATCTATATATAACACGTGCTTAATTCGCGCTAACTTTGCCTAAGCATCTCTATGATCACTTAATGAATTATTAAAAGGACTGGATATTTTTCAAAAGATGTTCTTATTAAGGCGATCAATCAAAGAAATCGAACGTTGGAGTAGACATTTTGACGGGATATGTTCTAAATGAAAACCGCTTTATGTTTATGGCTGATAGGCATTCAAAATGGCGGCACATTTGAAATTAATTGATAAATTTATGCAGTGAAAATTCGAGTTTCTTACTAAAATTTAATTTGCGATCACTTCTCACGTCACGTCACGTCACGTCACGTCACGTCACGTATTAACAAGACCATAATTCAAATCTTCTCAATTTCCTCAGCAGAATCCCCAGCTTTTTGAAAGGCTAAGGCCTAGCTGTGTAGGCTGTGTCGGCTCAAACTGCCTGTACTACAGTAGTCGCCTATATTGCTTGAATAACAAATTAACTAACATCGCGTGTACTTCGTAGAGCATTAAATTATTTTATTGAATTGAATTGAATTGTAATCAATACATAAACAATTGGCTCCGTTGTTTAAGTGATTTTTGTTGTTGTTATTTTGCGCAGTTTTGTTTATGGCACTAAATTTAGTTCGCTTTCAATTTGAGGATTAAAAAAATTAAATTGAAAACAAAAAAAAAAAATAAATAAATAAAAAAAAATATATAAATAAATAAAGCAAAAAAGAAAAACATTGCTCCATGATTTCACGTTTAATTCTCTATTTTATTGTGATTATATGTAAATTTAATTAAATAAACAACAAGGCCGCTTGCCGCATGTCGCTTGCCGTTCGCAAGCACGACACGACAAATTTTTTTTTTCAAAACACAAGTAAACTGCACATAATCTAGTGAGGACCGCCATCATCATTATGCTAACAGTAGTGGCATGAAAGCCGTAACCGAAAATTATGCAAACAT